GGCCAGAAGTCCAAGACCTGCCTGGGCAACATAGTGAGATCATCTCTACAAAAAATGAGAAAAATTAGCTGGGCTTGATGGCGCAGGCCTGTAGTCTTAGCTACTTAGGAGGCTGAGGCAGGAGGATCCCTTGAGCTCAGGAGTTGGAGGCTGCAGTGAGCTATGACTATGGCACTGCACTCCAGTTTGGGGGACAGAGTGAGACCCTGTCTCTAAAAACAATAATATTTTCTCATTTTGGTCATTTATTTTACTGAATTCACTGCATTGTTTCTCTGTATTTGCTCGAAGTTCACTGAGCTTCCTTAAAATAATTATTTTGAATTATTTGTCAGACAGATAACCAATCTCCTGAATTTCTTTCCTAAATTTCTTTAGGGTCAATTACTGGTGTTTTATTTTGTTCCTTTGATGGGATCATACTTCCCTGATTGTTCTTGATCCTTGTGGCTGTGTGTTGGTGTCTGGGCATTTGAAGAAGTAGGGACTTATTCCAGGCATTACAGACTGGCTTTGTGTGTGAATGCTCTTTACCAATCAGCCTGTCCAGAGATTCTAGGCAGGCCATCTGGTCTGTTCCACAGGTGGGCTTGTTGCTGGTATCCTCTGGCAGGCTGATCTGTTGCCTGGGTCAGCAGGTGGGCACGCTTGGTACTTGGGTCTGTGAAATTGGGCCTAGAGCTTGTATCTACTGGGGTGGACCGAGAGCGTTGGTCCTTGAAGAGAAGCCTGGAGCCTGGGTCCATAGGGGCTGACCCGAAGCCTTGGTGCGCAAGGGCTGACACGGTGCTGGATCGGGGGGTCTTGGGGTGGTGCCCAGTGCGCCAAAGTAGGCCAGAGGCTGGTTCCAGTACTGTGTTAACCCCTGTGGACCCGGCTGGGGCAAGGGCTGGGGCTGGCCATGCCTGAGGCCAGGGGTGCTGACCTGGCTCTGGGCTAATCTGGAACCTGGGGCAGTCCTGGAGCCTCCGTCTACAGGCCTGGGACCCAAGTCTGTAGGGCCTGGCCTGATGCTTGGGTGAGCCCAGAGCCACTGAGGTTGGCTTGGAGACTAAGTCTGCTACGCAGAACTGAAGCGTGGGGCTGTGGGATCCAGCATGCTGATGAGGTGGGCCTGAAAGCTCAGCTGGTAGCTACCGGCCTTGAGTCTAGGGTGGTGGAGGCCTGCCCAGTGCTGGGTTTTACCATGGTGGGCTGGTATCAGGGTCTCAGGCAAAGTTCATTGTTCACTTCCCTCTTCTTCCTTGAGTGAAGGGTACCTCTCTACACACTGGTGACACCTGGGGTTGGGGAAGGGTTGATGCAAGTAACATCATATTGTCCTTCAATGTGTCTTTTACTTCTGTGTTACACCCTGGTACTGTAATCTCTCACCTGGTTCCCTTAGGTCTCGCAAAGGTGATTTTCATGTGTCGATAGTTGTTGAAACTGATGTTTCTGCAGGGAGATAAGCACTGAGAAGTCTTATTCTGCTATCTTCCTGATGTCAGTCCCTCTGATTTCCCTCAAGTTCTGACTCTTCTCCTAACCAGCTTAAATCTCATAGTTCATCATTATAGTTACTCTTCTCACCAATCAATCCAGGCTAAGTCCAATTCTGCTGAAGGTGGAGCAAAGCAAAACCCTGATGACTGAAACATTAAACTCATGACCACTAACCTCAAGTGGGCCTTCAATGCACCCATACTACCCTTCATTACTTCTTTCACTCCCTCCTATCCCCCAAACCTCTCACACCACTTCCGCATCTTCCCTTTTTAGCTGACAACCTTATTTCCTGTTTAACAGCACAAATAAAAGCAGCCAGATGAGAACAATCAGAAGCTCTAGCATTATTTCTGCCCATACTTGGCCTTCTTCCTCGGTTGATGCTCCAGTCTCATCTCTTCATGGCGCCTGGATCCCAGTTTCCTCTTACCTGTTCAGACCCTGCTCTAGTCCATTCTCTTCATATTCTTTTGTAGTAGTTTTTCTCTCTACTGGTCATTTTGTGATTTTATAACTATATCCTAGAATTTCTAACATCTTAAACACCAAAACCCTCTTGAGCCTACATCTCTTCAGCTACCCATCCATTTCTCTGTTGAGACAATTCTCCATGGCTTTCTCATGTTTGTCTTACTAGTATGGAGGCTGCAGTGAGCTATGACTATGGCACTGCACTCCAGTTTGGGGGACAGAGTGAGACCCTATCTCTAAAAATAATAATATTTTCTCATCTTGGTCATTTATTTTACTGAATTCACTGCATTGTTTCTCTGTATTTGCTTGAAGTTCACTGAGCTTCCTTAAAATAATTATTTTGAATTATTTGTCAGGCAAATAACCAATCTCCTGAATTTCTTTC